TTTTTGACTTTCTATTATAAGGGCTAAACAGAACCAGTCCTCAAATAGTGTTTGTAATTATCTTTATTGTTTACAAAATGCATGTCATTTGTAATCACTCACAGAGGTCTAAAAACATACATTGACGTGCATTGTTCTCAAAAACATTTAACTTACTGAAAATGTAAACAGTAATTGTAGCTTGTAATCTGTTTCGTGTTAGTGCTTTAAACACGCAGTGCTTTTAACTCCTGAAATGCCCAAAATCAAAGGCCAAAAACATAATGACAAAAAAATGCACAGAAGCCCATTTTTGAGAACGATGGAGAAATAATGTAGATCTACTAGAGTTATTATTGCTGTTGGTGAGAAACGTTCCCATAATGTCTCATTAAAAAACTGTAAATGTCTTGTTGCACAGCTGACATAAACGCACAATCCCTGCTATCATGGCGGTAGGGAAGCATGATGAAGGTCTAATAAACAGCATGTGGATATAAGCATTTTACAAATGAATAAACCAGATAGCATTATAAAGGTTTATTTCAATATGTATAATCATTTTCAGTTATTATAAGGCCAGCCTTTATTCTGATAAAGTTCTTCAATATCCTGAGGTTTTTCATCATCAGACGCACTTCCAATAGTTTTTCCCCCTCAAAAAGATATGGGCATCTATGCTAAAAACATACATAAAATTCTTATTAAAACAAAACAAAAAACATGAAAGCACAAACATTTGTAATATAGATTCATAAAAAAAATACAAAGTCTTCACACCTTATTAAATGTTCTGTAAGGTTTTAATTCCAGTCTTTATGTTTTTTTTTATGTTTCATTGAGATTGTATCAAAGGCTACATTATGTGGCTTGTTGATTCTTTTCCTTTTTCAGGTCCTTCATGAATCTCTTCCGAGACTGAGATAAACGTGTTCTTCAAGTCGGCACTACGTTGGACTTCAAGAACATCCTGCTGTGCCAGTATCCTGGATTGTCGAAGGATCTTTCAGTGGACGTAGGTTCCCCGATCCCGACTCCGACCCTAAGGTGGGGATCGAAGCCCAACGGGTGCATTTCTGTGCAGTCCACCGCTACCTTGCCCTCCCTCCGCATGTTCTGGTAAACGACTGTGTCGACAGCAGGTGACACAGCTGCAAAGCAGTCCATGTCCTCGTATTGATCCACCTCACTGTTGTCACTGCTGGGCTCCTTATTGTCCACAGCAGGCTGCTGTTGCGCTGTCTGTCTGTTCGTGTACTGATAGTCGTCACTCTCGACGTATCCGCTCTCCTGTCTCTCCGCAGCGTCTCCTCTCGTCCTCGGTAGAATCGGAGGTGGGGGGAGGGCGTGCTCTGGTGGGATGTCCACTTTCTCGTTACATCTGATGTCCATGTATTCATACTGGACCTCCTTGGAACCCTGCTGGGCCGAATGGGGATTTTTCTGACTCGTCTTCTGCCCTCCCCCGACCTCCAAGCTCAGCGTCGTGTCGCAGTAGGCTGTCGCTTGTGACGATAGGGAATAAGTTCGTCTCTTGTTCGACCTCAGCCAGTGGGGGTTGTGCCTCAGAGAAACAGCTGTTTGCTTGTTCATGTACTCATACTCCTCATCATCTGGGCTGTCCAGGAGGCCCAACGAGTAAGACTTTCCCATTCTGCATGCAGTGGCTCGAGATGAGTACATTAGGGTGTCTGAAACGGTAAAAAGAAAAAAATGGGGGTAATTTTAAATATGAGGCATTGTTTAAAATAAAGTTTTATCCCAAAAGGCTGTACCTACGATGTACATTATCATGCAAGTAACAAATGTTTGTGTTTTTCAAAATTCTGGAACATTTCTGTTGAAACAAAACCCTTAAAAAAATTTTTTTAATAATTTTTTTAAAAAGTCTAAGTATAATTTTTACAATCAAATAATTAAAAAGAACTTTATGGGAATCTTCACAAAGCACACTCTTCTCTTAACTTTGCGACAAATAGGGTTTGGAAATGTTTAACAGATAAAAGTGTCCACAGAAAAGAAAAGCTAAAAAAAAAAATGAACAAAAGCGAAGGAAAGATTTTGAAGTTTAAAGAAGTTTCACACAGAGGAAAAAAAAACTGCCTCTGCACATTTTCAAAAAATGTTTAGGAATATGTTTCAGTGTTCAGTGCATACTAAACATGTCTGAAGATTTTCAGCTTTCCACATTTTTATATTCAGGGAGGGTTTAAGGAAGTGATTTGTTTTAAACCTTAATTTAGAAATATCCCTCTGAATTTATTTCCTATTGAATTTGTGAGATGAGGCGACAGCCGCTTGTCCTCATCCAGCTGAGCGACCGGGGTAATTCATGCACGTTACATTTCCAGCACACCCGGGCTAGCACAAAATACTGAAATATGTAGTTCGATTAATCTGCACTATGTAACGTTAATACGTTAATTGCATGCGTAAATGCGTTAACGCTGACAGTCCAGATTTAAACAGATGTTCGACGTTGTGGCCTTTGTCAAATAAGTTCAGTACGTCTCAAAACCAAGACTGTTCTCCAGTTTTCTTATTCCAGTTCAGTACATACTTTGTCACATATTTCATTTATTTAAACTTTTTTTTTTATTTCACTTTGGTCTAGTGTTATTGAATAGTTTTACATCAAACCCTTGACCAGGTTCAGCAGGTTTACTGAAGCCTCTCGACCTCATGTCAAAGCTTTTTTAAGCGCTCAGAGCATTGTCACCTCTTTCTGGGCTTCCTCCAGGAAGGACGTATCCGTTCTGATCTTCCTCCTCTGCGTCAGGCGACGGGGTCTCTGGCGGCCCACCGGACATGCTGTCCCTCTGTGACACGTAAGCGCTGTCCTCACGTTGGCGTCTTCTTTTCAGACTTCCTGGCAAAGAAAAGTCCTCGCTCATCTCCATGTCCACCGCAGTGCCACAGCCCTCTGAGCTCTCAGACACGGTGCGCGCAGAGTTCAGTCGAGAACGGGACTGACACACAAAACAGATAATTTGAGATTAACCATTTAAGTAGTTTGAGTATGATGTGGGCTGATAAAAAAATAAAAATCTTTTTAATGGATCTACCTGTCCTCCAAAGCCTGGGGTCATGGGCAGGTATCCAGCCACGGTTGATGGATTGAGCACCACCTTTAAGACAAAAATCAATGAATGTTATGTGGATACAGATGAGCAGGCAGTGCATTTTCAGGCATAAAATCCTGGGAACATCAACACCGTCCCCTACTCTGTTAGTGTCGGTCCTGGAGATTCGGCTCAGACTCCTGGACAGGAGGTGAGGTCCTGGAGTCCCGCAGTCCGCCGAGGTGTGAACTCCAATGTCCTCCAGATCAAAGTCTAAATCATCCAGCTCATCCAGGTCTGCACTCCGCTGGGCGACTTCGTCAGGCGGTGAATCGTGTTGATTGCAGTCTTCCTGCCGAAACCAGAAAAATTATAGATGAGCATGCTGCGTTGGCACCAAGCGCTAAACAACACAGTGCTAGTCCAGGTGGGTCTTACTTTGATGACCAGGTAGCGAGGCGGGTCTCTGGCCATTCTGGTGAATTCTCCAGCCAGTTCCTTAAATGTTGGACGGACATTTTCATCGATCATCCAGCCTGGATAAGCAAGAAATAAGATCATTAACTGTTTTCTGTGGGACTGCAACCAGCCCAAAACGAGCTTCCACCTGTAAAATTAAAATGACTTACACTTGACCATCACCATGTAGACGTCGATGGTGCATATCTGAGGCTGAGAAAGACGCTCGCCCTTTTCCAACAGATCAGGAACCTCCTGTGGACGCATGGTGGAGTATGGCTCTGTCCCGTGAGACATCATCTCCCAAACAGTCACACCTAAGATCCAGAGGACAATGTTGAATCGATCTGAGGAAAACAGCTTTTAAGTTTGTAGAAGTGACCTGTTATACTTCCTTGAACAGGATGAGACAGATCTACGGGCGATACAAAACATGCTCATGACAATTTTTACACAAAATCATTCTTAGATCATGAGATTTTACTCTGTTCAGTTATGCCTATTTTGAGATCCTTTCAGAATGAGATGTTTTGGGGCCTCTTGTCACTTTAAATCCAAATGAGCTGCTGATGGCCAACTACTCGATTTTTACACTTCCACATGAAAATCGCTGCAAATGGATGTACAATTATACAACAGTACATCTTTGAAAAGCAGAAGTAGAGCCTCCTGCGGAGCCAGCAAAAATTCAGCAAGTGGTTTCTAGAAGGTAAGTCAACAACAATGCACTTGTGTTTTCCAGCAGCCATTGTACAGCACATACAGTGGAAAAACCAGTTGGCCAGATGTGCTGCAGCTCTGCTTGGGTTGCTAGGTAACTGTGGATCAAGTAAGAGGTTTTTGAAATGGTAAATTTATTGCTTAAGAACAGCTAGTTTTTTAATAGTTTGGTGATAGTTTTAGTGTTTGGGGGTCTTTTTAGACTTATTTGAGACCCAAATAGAAGTACAAAAACTTAAAAATGTGAACTCTGCATAACAGGTCCCATTTAAATAAAGTCAGTACTTGGAGCCTACCGTAACTCCACACATCACTCTGATGAGTGTATCTGCGAAACAAGATGCTCTCCAGGGCCATCCACTTGATGATTGGTGTCTGCAAATGTGAACAAAAAAAATTGCTTTTTGGAAATCAGTTAAAAAAACAGAAACAGTGGAGATAGAAAATAATAGATGTTAAAAGGCATAAAATAATTTTCCTAAATGTCTGTTTTTCTGTTTCTGTGTCCTACAACAGCTGAAAAAAATCATGCCCTTGAACTTTTTCACATTTCCATTTGTTACAACAAAAATCTTCAATGTACTTTTTAAAGATTTTAGGTGACATCAACACAAAACAGAACATAATTGAAAATTAGTAGAAAATTGAGGATTTAAAAAGAATCTTCACAAGAAAAAATGAATAAATCTTCATTAGTTCTTGCAGTTAAAGCTGTCAGTCTCCTGGTTTTAACATAAACTCTTCCCTGTCCCTGCACAATAATGCCTCCACCGTGTCTCACCATGACTCCTCTGACTAAATTACTTTCTTTTGAATGTTTAATGTTTCCCCCGCGTAGCCGGTGGGAAACTATAACTAGGATTTGTCATAACTTTGTTTCAACAACGGCATCCTTCTTGCTAATCTTCCATAAAGGCTGAATCTGTGAAGTTGAAGACAAACAAGCGTCCCACCAAACTTTTTCCACCTGAGCTGTGGTTTTCTGCAGCTCCCCTAAAGTTACTGCAGGCCTTCCAGCTGCTCTCCCAGTAGGTCTGTGTTATTCTGTCACATAAAATCCAAATAAAATACATAGAAGACTATAGTTGTAGTGTAAAAAAAAAAAAAGAGAGGAAAAGTTCAAGGCGTTTTGATACTCTTGATTAGCACCGTACATAACTCCTCCTATAAAACCCACCTTGCCCTCATTAAAAAAGTTTTTCTTGTCATCAGGATAGAGCAGGTCCGCCACGCCATAATCTGAAATCTGTGCTGTGAAGTTGTCATTGAGGAGAACGTTTCTGGCAGCCAGGTTTCTGTGGACAATCCTGTTTTCCTCCAGGTAATTCATTCCCTGATGGTGAAGAAGAACAATGTGACTCGTCTTTGAAACGTGTGTGTAAAACTAAAAAAAAAAAACAGAGTCTGCATTGGTCCTTTACCTTTGCTATCTGGACACACCAGTTGAGCAGCCTCTGTGGGCTCAGCTTGTTCTTGTTGCTCCTGACGTGCTCCAGCATGGAGCCCTGACTGCTGAGAGGGGTGACGAGTTGGAGGCTGTCGCCTGGACAGAAACCCAACGTCCTCACAACGTTGATGTGGTTCATGCTTCCCATCGCAGTCATGTGCTGTGGAGATCATTCCCGTTACATATTAAGACTTTAATATCTGAGTTTTCAGTCACATTTTTTTCAAACAGAATCCAGTTCTCTTCCATATGAGTTCACATGCTTTTCAAGCATCATTTCAGATGGATGGACAACACAAACATTTCACTGAAGTTGACTTACATCTGTCACTTTGTAGAAATTTTGTCGACCAGTGCGATCATGAATCGTCCTGATGGCAACAGGCAGCTTCACTGTGTCTCCCTCAGGGATCCAAACGCCCTACGACGTAAAGAGAGCCCAGCTTCAGACACTGATCAACAGGAACCAGATGTAGAAAACGAATGCTGCAATGTGCACCTTGTGGACGGTTCCAAATGCTCCATTACCCAGAGGTTTGATCTTACGCAGCTCCGAGGGCTTGAAGATCCGAGCGTGGACTTTCTCTTTCTCCTCCAAAGGTTCGAAACTCTGAAGACACACACAAAGCATGACTTTATGTTGCCGTCTTTAAACTCAGACAGGAGTGGGAAACCCGAGACGGATGTGCCGACTTACTTCACCACTCTCCATGTATCTCCTCATGGCTCGCTTACGACGGATGACGATGCTTCGGCGCCACAGAGTGGTCAGCACAAAGATGGAGAATGAAATGAAGAGTGTGGCGAGGACTCCCAATATTATGCCGGTGGTTGCATGTCTAATCACGAGAGTTTAAAGGGTGACATGCAATCAGAACCTCATGATTACCCAAATCAAAACTATAAAAGACGGATCTAAATAAGAGGATATATTACCCAGTCAGGGCTCGAGGAGCAATTCCCACACAGTCCCCGATTCTAGGGCCAGTACATCTGGAGAAAAAAATGCATGAAGAGTCAGTTTAAAGAAGGAAAATACACATGCAGGGATGCAGTTTGTAATCGTCACTCACCCTTGGGTGCAGTTCATGTGGCATGTCTCACAACGGCCTTGTTTGCTGGCATATTTAAAGATGACTCCCTCCCCGCCCATCACACCATCGGGACACGAGGAGACACAGTGTGGACCGTCCTGCAGGCTGGAGCATGCAACACACTGATCTGCTCCCTGGAGGTAGACAAAAGACACAGAGCGGAGACACTATTTGAGCCACGAGGGGGCAGCAGTGGATCTTTGCCCAAACTTTACTCTTCTTCTACTTTGACCAATTAGAGAACAACGAGGGTAAGAAAACAGCAAAGGGATCATACCGGCCCCGTGCAAGTCTTCATTCCTTCCTGGACTTTACATTCAGGATGACATGGCAAACACTCGCCTGACTGTGTAGCAAACTCCCTCCTAGTTCTGCATTAAGAGCAAAAAAATATATATATATAAAATTCAGCAGACTGCAAAAAGAGCTGAAATCTGAAAGGCACCCTGCTGAAACTTGCATTATTTATCCTAAATGTGACTTCTTTTTTTAAGACCTACCCAGTGAGGAACATGCAGTCTGACACACACGTCCCCCCACGGCTGTACTTGTTACAGGAAACACACTGATCCGGCCCCGCGCCCCAGCAGCCATCAGCGCACAAGGGGTCACACACATGGCCATCCACATCTGCAGGGGAGAAGAAAGACAAATCATTGTGGTGAAGCAGCCTCAGCGTCGCTGGAATGAAGTAACATCGGTAGGCGTGAACACAGAACTAAAATTACATTTTGCAACACAGGTCAAGGTGTACGAACTCTTGGCTGAAAGATGACGTGTTACCGAAATGAAGTGACTTTTTTTAATCCACAGATTCTAGTTGCTGTACAACTTCAACAGAAGATTTTGTTCCAGTTAGAAAAATATACAGCATGTTTAATTTCAAGTGATTTATGTTGCCTTTGTTAAACATTATTCATAAAGATTCGTGATTTTTAAGTGATGCATATGTTTTTTAAAAGTAAAAGAAAAAAATAAACTGTTTTAATTGAACAATCTAAAAGGATTTTACAGAACGAAAGGTCAGGAATTAAAACAAAATATGCCATATTGCCAAAAGTATCGTCACAAATTTTTCCTTGTATTCATCTCAAAAAAATTGGTGCCTTCATATGTGAAGGGTGCTATATATTTTGATTGGTGAGACAGTAAAAATGTCAAAAATGTTAAAAAAAAAAGTTTTATTTGACAGGCAAACTTATTTTAGTTCTTTTGCAAAGTAAAATGTATGCATTGGTTGCATTAGTTTGTTAGCAGGAAGCTTCTGTGTCATAAATTAGATTTCCATCTGTATTTTAATGCAGTTTTTCATCCATAAAACCACAGCGTTCAGGGTCACCTTAGCAACAATTTAAATTGTGAATGTTTTTAATAGTTTTCCCGGTGTTTTAATCATTTTGTTATCTCTTGACCAGGACTGCCTTGAAAAAGAGGTTATTGATCTCAGAAGGACTTTCCTAGTTAAATAAAATAAAAATAAAAATAAATTTAGCTTTCACCAGCACTGAAAAGGTTTACTAAATCCACTATGACACCACTACTCACCACACTGCTCCGGTTTCTGGTTTTCCTTGATGAGGCTCCTATTCTGCTGTTTCTGGGGCCTGGAAATGATGCGCATCCAGTTCACAGTGTTGTAGTAGCACAGATTCTTGTTTTTGGTGATATAGACACCGCCGTCATTCAACTTCTGCAGGGAGCGCAACCCGAGGGAGGTGAGAGACGGGATATTCATCACAAGGAAAGAGTAGCCCCTGAAACGGCAGGCGATGATGTGAATGCGTATTTTTGCATGAACAAAAATATGAATTGGACAAATGGCTTACTTTAAAAAGACTTGTTCTGTATTGTGTGGGTTCACTACGTTTAGGTTTTGCCATTTCAATAGAAAATATAAATACAGAAGAGTCTCTAAGTTTTGAGTTTCTTCTCTGAACTTTGTCACATCAAAGGCAAAACCAAAACTGATTCTGATTATTTCCAAAGGTCTCCTACATCCCTGTTTTAATTTTTGTTTCTTTAAAAGAAATTTCACATTTCATTTGAAAAGGCAAAACTTAAATTTGGGAAATCTCGAAAGGAAGTAGAGATTGGAACAAAACAGAAATTAATTTTATTTAAAAACATAAACGATTAGCAGAATAGATTGGGATTAATCTCCAAATATGAACAATCAAGTGAGAAATTAGCATTTTTGTTTTCCTTTGTAAAACTGGATACCACTTTCACAATGTAACAGATTTTGCCCAGGTTACCAGAAGAAAAAACAAAAAAAAAACCTTTAAACAGATGTGTCCACCACCAGTTTAATCTCACAATACCAGTATGGGATGAACACACACCAACACCAAAAAGAGGATGCACTTTGAGGTGTTTAACATACCTTTTGTTACGGTTCCCTCCACTACAGAAAGCAAAGATATCACATGACAAAGAAATAAAAAAGAAAAGCAGTTCAATTTAAGGCTTATTAATAACAGAACACAATCATGTTTATGAGTCAGTGGCTTCAGAGAAACAATGAGGCAAAGAAAGAAAAACATCAGCTGCTCACGAGTAAAGTTTTCTTCCTTGTATTGTTTGGAGGTTGGAAAAGACCGACAGGTTCGAGAGGCTTTCAGGCCACGACTGGATGTTGAGGTAGTCTGAAAATCAAGTTGTATTTCAGAGTCTCTAAAAACATGCAAACAATATCACAGCACCTTAAAAATACTCCTGCAGTTTAGAAACTCACCTGTAATCTCCTGCACAGTGTTAAAGACTTTCAGCTTTTCTGGATCGAGGGGTGGTATTTTTTCGTAAGGATCGCTTTGAGCAAAAAAGAAATGAAGACAAAAAAAATTATTTAATGCAAAATACCCTGAATGAAGCACTGAGAATAAAGCTTCATGATAAGCTAAATATAAACTGAGAATTTTCAGAGGGGAAGGTTTAGGTAACTGGTGCAGAGAGCAAAAATAACCATATGTATAGTTTTCCCTTTGCTTTTAAAATAGAACATGTTACTTAAAGGATTATTCCTTAACTATCAAAACTTATAGACTGTTGTGTGTGCATTATGTTTCTCTACTTCCTGTGCATCATGTTTCTCTACTTCCTGTGCATCATGTTTCTCTACTTCCTGTGCAGAGCCCGATGCAGACGGGGCTTGAGAAGTAACAAGAGATGAGCAGAGGAATGAACCCACATCTTAATGCATTTTGTCACATCATATTTCTATGATCATTGTTCAGGCAGGTGGCTGATACTGGGGCTGCTTTTAATTTAGATCTATAACAATTTTTAAGATTTCTTATCGAAATCAGACACAATCTTGTACTACTTTAAAGGTAAACACATTTAACAACACAATATAAGTTGTTAAGCGTTCTATAACAACCTTTAACTCATTTTATTTTGACGACTAAAGCAGGAATATATGTGAATGGGAAAAACATTGTTGGGAAACTGACACTGAGAATGAACTCGTTTATTGTGTCTGTAAATTTAGTTCTGAATGTTCAGCTTGCAACACAAAATAATTCATACATTTTAATTTATTCTTACCCTCTTATGCCAAGCACCGTAAAGTCAAGACTGCCCTTGATTACAGTGCAGTTTATAAAACTGTCAATGTTAGCTGCATCAACGGTTTTGCTTTTCTGTTTTTCTGTGCCGTCACAAACTGCAAAAAAAAAAAAGGGAAGAAAAAATACATAAAAAAAATAAAAACACCAAGAAACATAATACTATGGTGGCATAATTAAAACTAGTGATCAACAAAGAATTAATTTTACACTTTCAACCACAAGTTATAACTGCTCCATTGGCTTATTACTAGGTTTCAGACACACGATAGACCTAGTTTGGGGATCAGCAGGTTTTGGAATTTGCACTTTCAAAATAAGTTCACAGATGCTCTTTAAAACAAAGACCTCACGTTTCCTAATAGAAATAACTTAGGCATAGAAGATGTATTATTGCCATTTTAAAGGAAAGCTCACAGAAGCATATCAGTGAAAAGTTCTGATATAATAATTTGATTAGAGTTAGCTGGCACATTCCTGTTAGCTAAGACGCTAATGCTAAAACTAGCATTTTAGCCTACAATAAAGCACTGTTAGTGTAGTAGAAAGATTTAGTTTTTCTTTCCGAGTATTTTGCTATAAAATAAGACAATGTTACCAAATTAGGAAATGTTAGCATTTCCTAACATAGATTAGCATCATGTTAGCTATTGCTAGCTTATTATTGAATGCTAGGAGACTGTAGTGTCACAGATTATGTACATTATTGATATCTAACATGCTAATGTTGGTATGTCATCTAAAATTAACATTTAAACTTCTTAATCATTTTAACCCCCATTAGCATTGTAGATGTTAATTACTGGTGTTACTAGCTTGTCCTCCTTTACTAGAATGTTACCGTGTGCATTAAATCGTAATTTAGTGTAACAGATATTTCTTGTTATTAAAAGCAACATGCCAATATTGCTACTTATAAAGTGGTTACCTTTGGGGCAGAGACCTCTACAGGGCTCGCATCGCTTCGCTCCATTTTTGTCCACCTCCATTTTATCTGCTGGGCAGTTCCTTACACATGAGCTGCCATCCACAACAAAGTTGGCTGTTCAAAAACAGAAAACGACATTAATAAATACTTTGCACTGTGTCAGGGACTTACATTAAACTGAGCTAACACTGTTAACACTGTTAGCACAGCTAACATTAAACACTGAGATAACACTTATAGCAGCTTAATAACCAGAGCTTTATGACTATCACAACTGTGTTTAAATTGGTTTATATTTATGTGTGGGGACTCACGGGGGCACTGGGCCACACAGATAGAGCCATACTGGTATTTGGCATTGGGATTGCGCTCCATTTTGAATGACTGCTTGTTGTAGATCAGAGTCTGGGGACACTGGAGCACACACGATCCTGAGTTGTTGAAGTTCTTGCAAGCCTGTAAGATGCAACATAAAACAATAATTAGGTGCAAAGGTTGTGGATTTGTATACATGTTTTTAATTTTTTGCTACTTAAGTGGTTAATTGCCATTTATGACTGCTTTTATCATTTATTTAGAAACTTCTCTTTTTTAAAATGATACTGGAGATCATTAAGCAGTTCCTAATAAGTGCTTGTAACTGTCAAAGATCAGAGCAGGTGGAAATGTTCAGCAGCAAAGCATAGTGTCATTTGCATAAATTGCACCATTAAAAGACTTCGGTGAAAAAAAAAGACATTCAACTTCTGCGTGGGCTTTTTATATTTACATTTGTGCAGAAATACTTACATTTTCTCACTAAAAGCCTTTTTACATTAGTTGGAATAAACAGTGCAATACTTTGACCTAAAACTTTATCAAAAAGTTGATTTGTTCATTTTATATTTAAGCTGGTTTCTGTCTAAAATCTGTTTACTGTAAGTTTTAGACTCACAAAGCAGTCTGTATCCAGGGGCCCGTTGCAGCCACCAGCACATTCAACGTGGCAACAGTCGCTCGGGTTTCTTCCGAAGCATCGGCTGTTACACTGAGGCGCACACACGGTCTTTGTCACTGAAACAGAGAAGGAAGTTTGTTATCCTTCCAGTGAAGTGAGAGTACAATGTGGCACGCAAAAGTCAATGAAATGTGAATTAGCGTTGAAGTTTGAATTGGCATACGGTGAAAGAGTTAACTCATCAAGCTACAAAGAGTCGTCTTTTTCGCTTTTTTATTACGAGAGTTGAGTGGCAAAATTAACGGATAAGAGATAAAGATTTATTTTCTGTCACTCACAGGTCTGGCAAGAGTTGCTTCCTGGTCCCCAACAAGGCCCGTTCCCGCATGCTTCATTACAAGGCTCTGGAAAATATTTCTACTGTTAGTAGATGTAGTTTTACAAATGAAAGCAAGTGAAAACAAATCACAGCAAAACCAGGTTTAAACACTTACATCATACCTGCAAACTGATTTACTCATCAATCGTGGTTTTTGTTTGTACATAGGCATCTTTAAAAATTTGATATTATGAAAATATTCAATTATTTTGGTTACTCAATTCAATAAATTGAAGCCACAAACAGAATAGTCATTAGAGGAATGCGTTTTAAACTTAAATTTTTTCTTTACATATTTGTTGAAAGTGTCACTATGTCATGACAGTAAGAGACGGAGACAAAATCGAGATCCTCTGCCTTCTCCCGGTGCCAATGATGGCAGATAAACAGCTTTCCTGTAATCCTTTGCCATTACCACATTCACCAGCGCATTCATGAGGTTGACTGACGTCGCTAAGACACTCCTCCTGGCTCTGATTGATTTTGTTTATTGCTTTTGACTGGAAGTGTTGCATTTCTTCATAAAATAATAGCAGCACAGGGAGGATGTGGAGGAGCTCGATCTTTTTCACAGATTGTCTCGTAACATACTCTCACGACATGATGACAGCTTTAACAAAACGTATTTTTTCTAAATGTTTTTGCACATTAATTCAGACTCACTCTCAGGACCGTTCTTTTGGATCATAAGCTCAGCTGATGCATCCTTCACTATGTCGAACCAGTTCACCTGTGGAGCGTAACTCAGGTACTTGTTGTCGAATATCTGGACGCCTCCTTCAAGTATCTCTGTGGGCGGCACAAATGCAAATGTGTGGAAAAGAATGAGAATTATTAGAGCAAGCCCGGACAGGCCCATGACTCAACCCATCAGACATTGGCACTCGCTTTTTACTACAGCACATCTAAATGCAGCGCAGTGGTACAGAGCTCGTTACTTTGACAGTTGGGCGGTTGTACACGACACATTCCAGCTACCTCACCAACAGACGGCATTCTGGAGGGTGCGGCTTCACTGAGAGCGTGTGAGGGCTCCAACAGTAACTGAGGGCCATATCCAGTTCTTATCTGCTCTGACTCAGCCTCCCACACTTTAAACATACATAGCATACAGCATACCTGTGAGGTTTGTCAAGCCGAGCTCCTGAAGGCCGTGTTGACCATCTTTCTGGTAGTTGAGCATCACGGCCAAGGCATAGCGGTCCTCATAAAGATTGTTGCCCCTGATCACACGCAGGTTATCGAGAGGGAGACGGCTGAACTCGTTCATAGCGAACACAACGTGGCCCGTCACTTCCTTTATAGACTGCAAGGTTCAGTAGTAGAAAACACACGTTAGACAACAAAGCATCACTTAAATGCGTTTCAGTCACAAATAATGATCTCATAGTGACATCATCTCCACTGATTTGGTTCCCGACTTCTCGGGGAACCTCAGGGTAGGAATGTTTCTGGCACCGGTTGATTATACATCCATGTCTGGACTGGTTAGTGACATTCTTCTAGTGACACATCTGTGAAAGGATTACTAATAATCTGCTCTACTCAGAGGCCGATGTTCCCAGGCTCACCTGCAAGAAGCTGAAGTCCCGGGTGTGCTGCATCAAGATGATCTCAAGGTTTCCCATCACGATGTTGCAGCCGGTGTATCGCTCCTTCATCAGTTTGTAGTGGTTCTCTGGGTCTCCTGTTGTGCTCATGCCATTTTGGGTGCCAGAGCAAACAGTCACTGGAGAAATAAAACAAGAAACTCCTATTATTTCAAATATTTCTAAATTTTCCATTGCACATTTAAAAGAAATGCTCCATTGCTCTTTTGCAGACATGCAAAAGACATACGTTTCTGTGCATTACGTTGTGGGATAGCAGGCAAACCTGTCAAACCGCGACAGAGCTCATCAAACTTCAACCATCCAATTATTGCATCAGCAAAATGGAGATTTGCTGATGCATTTTCATAAAAATGAAAAGAAGCCATATACAAAGAATCTCAGCGGTATTTGGCGACATGACACCGGTGCTCCGCCATAGACATGGCCTCCGCCACCATGCGGAAGTAGAGCAAACCCCAACAACCAGTGTTATAATGGCGGAGGTAGTAAAACTCAATGAGTTACCCAACCCAATACACTTTTGGAGTAATTTTTGCCTCATCAGTGCAACAGTGAGGTAAAGGCGGCGGGCAAGAAAATTCTCTAATGAGTCCTACCTCAGGTCTGTGAGGTTATTAGTGGGAAACAACGGAGAAATCAACGATAAAGCCCAAGAGGAAAAATTATGTGGTCTGGTTGGATCTGAGTGAACGCTGTGTTGGACACATTTTGCACGTACAAAACGGGTGAGCAATGACTTAAATAATACTGGCTTGTGAAAACCTGCCTTCAGGAAAATGCTTAAAAATAAACAGTAGCGTAAGAGCTCTTGGATACATCAGTCTATGTTTTTTCATGAGGCCAAAGAGCTACCATTGGAATTTACACACATAAAATCAAGCATAACTACCTTCACTCATTGATCTGGAAATGATTACATGTTTAGCATTGTTATTTTAAGCAGTCTGAGCTGTGTTTATTTGAGTTTATCCTTGATCCCTTAGCACGGAGCCGTTGTTACGTCAATCCGCGTTTCCCCATCAGATACGGTTCCCCGTTTCCCCATCAGATACGGTTCCCCG